CATCTTACAATGTTCAGCCCCATAAATCAAAGTATGAATTTTGTTAAGAGGATAATTGTTTAGCCTAGTTCTTAAAAAATAAGAGCCTGGTTTCTTCATTAGAAGGTACAATTCCAAGTTACAGAGAGAAGGGAACAGAGAAACAGTCCTAGCTTGTTTTGCTCAGTGGTTAGAATGTCAGACTGTGGACTGAAGTATTCTGGGTTAAGGGTACATACATGAGTTGCAGGTTTAATCCTTGTCCCAGGTTTGATGTGTCATTCTTCTCTCTCTCTCTCTCTCTCTCTCTCTCTCTCTCTCTCTCTCTCTCTCTCTCTCTCCCTCTTCTCTTCCTTTCACTCTCTCTCAAAATCAATAATCAATGGAAAAATCCTCAATTGAGGGTGGAAAAAAAGGGGGGGGAGAGAATGAGAAATAGAGAAAGACAGTGAACATAAGATACATCATAAAGTGGATCTCTGCTGACTGTGACTATTTGGTGGGTCCATCCTTCAAGAAGCTACGTAGACTGTATTTGGACAGCACATCTGGGGGAGAAATTTATATACCATTTCCATCTCCCAGGGTGCATTAATCCTCCCTTTCTTTGGTTGCACATACATGGCCTCTGGACACGGTCTCCCTTGATCAACAAGGACACTCTTGGACAGCAGGTGAGAGGAACACAGCATGGAAATGCGGGAGGTGACAGATATCATATTGTGAAAGATAGCAAAAAACTGTGCAGAAATGGATGGTGCTCCATTGATGGCTGAAACAAGAGATAGTTGAGGACAAACTCTGAAATGATACTTAAGAGGGATCTGTTTTGTAACTAAATGCCACGAAGAATAGTCAGCATTTTTGAGGTTTTCTGTCTATTCATTCAGAAATATTTATTGAGTACTTAATAGATATTCCTGACATTCTTCTAAGATCTTTGCATGTATATTTCCAAAGTAAGGTCATTTTACAGGCTAGAAAACTGGTTCTTAGAGAGTTAAATACCTTGACCAAGGTCATATGCTAATAAGGGTTAGATCTGGGGTTTGAACCCAGCTCTGTCTAACTCCTAAGCTGTTTTTGTTTCACTACATTAGCACCTCATAACAGACCAATTATATCAGAATTTACTGGAGAGGGTCCTATATTTCAACACTTTAACAATCCCCAGCTACTTCTCATGTGCATCTAGGCTTGGGAATAACTAACCTAATTTTTTTTTAAATCCTTAAAATAATTACCCACCGATTTCAAATATGAGTTGGCATTTATTAGCACCTTGCTCATTTATTATGTAAAGATTTGCTGGATGGCAAAGTTGATGGGAAAGGGGCTTCCTTGCAGTTCAGAAACCTAAGTAGCAGTGAACATGGAGGAAGCATTCATTAATGCTCTGGCATTCAACACTATGTGGAGATCACATCTTTATATTTGATAACTGCTTTGTGATCTCCTGGACTGTGTTCCTCCAATATCACTAGATTCTCTCTGGTAAATATATATCTTAAAAAAATCAAATTCCAACTAGAAAAATCTGCTCTGGATCAAAGTTACTAAATCATTAATCTGGATCTTTCTCCCAAACTGGAGCCAATCCAAGCCCAAGCCATGATATATATGAGAGAGGCCACATATTTAGAGGGTTATTAATTCTTCCACACTGTTGATGTGTTGTGCTGACAAAGGAGACAGAGACCAATGGCAGGATACTGAGAGGCAGTGTTTGAGTATTTTTAGCCTGATTAAAATAAAGAATGATTTAAAACTATTCAAACAGTCTTCCCACAGAATTCTGCAAAGGTTCCAGCTCAATTTCTGGACCTGGGAAGCTTGGCCCAAGGATCTAGATGTTGAGGAACTTTTGCCATTTGATTAAGTCTCCAGCAGTCAGAGGCTGCACCTCATCAGTTTAAACAGCAGGGTTGTTTTTTTGTGAGGCAGGAACACAGACAAAAATTGGGAATTGCCTTTTAATATCTTAGATAGGAAACCCCAGCAGTTCTCATGGGCCATTTGAAGACATTAAAATTCACACTCCAGTGGGGAAAGCGATTGTTTACCTTATGAAGAAAAGTCTCAGGTGACAACAAACACAAGCAGGTTCTGAATCATGGGAAGATGCTAATGTGAACCTAACGTGTACCCCCGAAAAAGCCCTGTTATATAGCCCTCTGAGACTGCCTCATTTTTAAAATGCTGGCTTTCTTGACTCCCAAGCCAGGGTGGAAGGAGGGGCAAGGAGGAAAGTGTGGTTAGCCCAGAGTTCCTGCCTTGTTACAGTGCTAACCTTGCAGTTTCTCCACTGGATTCGTGAGAAAGCCTGGACTGATGAGTGATTCTGGTGCTGATAAGGCAGAAACACGATTACTCTCGTGGGTCCTTGTATATTGCAGGGTGACTTGGACAACACACTCCATTTCGGCACCTCTGACAGTCTGACTCACTTCCTCTACCCAGAGGAGAAGCAAGGGCTACTTGGAGGAAGCACTTACCATTCCTAGCCCATGAATCAGGCAAACCTCCCGAGTCCCCGAGTCTGGGAAGCCTTAGTGACAAACCCAAAGACTTTTCAGATTAAGTTCTTTCACTGCAGATGGAGTTTCATTCCGTGATTTGACTAATTCAATGCCCTCTATGTGAAAAAGGGAAGAGATAACTTGAGACTAAAAACAAATATAAACATGCTCCACCAAGATCTCCCCATGATCCTGGTCAGATGAAAGTCTACAATGTTTAATCAGTGACAGAGCATATTCAGACCTAATTTCATTCAGTATTTCTTAACACCCCTTCTTGTTAATACTCACTCATAGACAAAAATAACTGAAAAGCTGAACAGAATTCTACAGAAAGAAATTGAACCAATCCAATCCTGTACCTCATCTTAGAGCTATGCTGTCTCTGAGTCACCCGAACACTCACTCAGTACTGCAAGGTCTCAGTGTTTACCCTGGCACACATGGGGTCCTTAACCAGTAACACTTTTCTGACCAAGAATTCTTATATTTATAGGTTTAATGGTGACAAACTTGATCCCAAGTGCCTCTTTTAATGAATTTTTCTCCTATCTAAATGGCCTGTCTACCCTGTAAACTTGCATTCCAGTTGCCTACATGTAATGTTCTCTCTTCCTTTAAGACTTGAAAAGTCATTTTTCTTTGAATCAGAATGGACTACACATCCTATGGGAACAAAAACCTACAACCAGAGAATGCAACTAGGGTGGCTTACTTAGACACATTTGGAATAACCAGGCATTCTATCTGTTACACTTAGTGTAATGTGGTTAAGGCTAAATATTCAGGAATCAGACTCCAGTGTTAAAATCACAGTTTTGCTGTTTTATGTCTGGGGGCAATAACTTGACCTCTCAAAACCTTAGTTGCTTCATTTAAAAAATAATTATAAATAGTCCCTGCTATGTAGTTCAGTGAGATCAAGACTGTCAAGTGCTCAAAATCCTGAATATGGCAAGTGGAAAGGATGGTTTAATAAATACCTCAATATTAGCTGTTATCATTGTCCTATCATTATATTTATTTAACTTTGACAGGATGCTGAAAAACTCAGTGGCATTTCCAGGATTAAATCAGATTTTAAAAAGGAAATTCCTTAATTCTCATGATGACATTTAAGGTTGTTTCTCTGAGGTTGTGGGAAAATCTCCCAGTTTTCCTACCACAACAAATTCTTTTTCTTTTTTTTTCTGCTTCAGAGTAGTTAGAAGGTAAAAACTGGGGTTCTGTATTATACCAGAACCTATCTGGGTGGTGTCAAGAGTCTTGAGTTGAGCTCAGGGAGCAGGTGCAGGCTCTCCCCATCCTCCAGCTATCGCTAATGTTTCAGGCTCTTTTGACCTGACATAACTGTGTCCTCCTCCTCCCATCATGAGGTCGCCTGATGGGGATTGTGAATGTCAGGACACTATGTTTCACAGTTAATGGACATAGCTAAATAGATGAAGTGAGTGAGCTTAATTGATTTTGCCCAAGTTACATGTGGAAAGGGTGGAAACTGCCAAGAATGAATTCCCAAAGAAGACTAAATTTAAGGCTATAAAAAAGAGACAAGAGCTGAAACTGGTTTGGCTCAATGGATAGAGCATCAGCCTGCAGACTGAAAGGTCCCAGGTTCAATTCCTGTCAAGGACATGTACCTTGGTTGCAGGTACATCTCCAGTAGGGGTGTGTAAGAGGCTGCTGATCGATGTTTCTCTTTCATCTATGTTTCTGGTTCTCCATCTCTCTCCCTTCCTCTCTGTATCAATAAAATATTTTTTTAAAAGAGAGAGAGACAAGAAATTTATATTTTCATTGTACATTAAGCAGGATCTCAACTAGGACCCCCTCTAAAAAACAAGGAATTAAGGTTAAAGGAAAGTTAAAGACAGATCATACCAAAGATATATGAGCCAAAACGTATTGTATTGTATTGTATTGTATTGTATTGTATTGTATTGTATTGTATTTAAACATTTGGGTCTTTCTTGGCAAGGGACTTGCTACTGTTTTCTTTTTTCAGTTCTCATTTATTGTAAACAGAGACTATCTCCAGACCCAAATGTTTTGCCAAGATACTCCCCTAAACATTTTCCTCCTTTCCATTTGCTCTTCTCTTTAAATTTTTAAAGCACAGAAATGTAATAGAATTTTTTTCCTAAAAGTAATTATTTTTACATCATCAAAATGTCAGAACATTAATTTGACTTCATGTCCAAGATGATTAAAATATGTACTTCTTGTCCTAAAAAACAACAAAACAGGAAATTATATTTCTCTTTTAGAGAAGCAACCCATCCCTAAAAGACTTGGGCTCTGTTAGAAATTCCTAGAGTATGATTTTGAGGATCATCTAGGAGGGTCTATTCTTTCCTTTCACCATAAATTTCCCATAATAAGCACATTAAAAGCAGAAATGCCCAATATATAGGTCAAAACACCTGCAAATTTGACTCACATCCTAAATGTTTAAATGTATCCAGAAAACATCTGGACCAAAGGTTTCCGCCCCCCTTTAAAAAACACACACTCATTTGTTTGTATCTTTACATCTTAAACAAAAACGAATTAATGGCTTTTAAACCCTTTGCACTAAAAAAGGAAAGTGCTTCCAGCTTGACAACCTAGATGATAAGTTGCAGCCCAATGTGGTTTGAAATAGACCAAACATAAATCCATCTTCAATAGGGAGTTTTAATTGGAAGCCACACTGACCCTTTTCTCCAGTGGTGCTGCCACACAGCTTGCTATAATGAAGACTGACAAATTGCTGCAGCTGGATGTAGACTTTCAATATGCTCCCTCATGGTCTTAATCACACCAAGCATCAGGAAGAAGACACACATTTCCCTGGTGCAGGGCAGACTGCCAAGTCCACTATGAGCTGCTGGTCAAGGACTCCTCCATGGTGGAGGCAGGTGCCTCAGTGATGGGAAGCAGGCAAGGGCGGGGCCCACGCCTTTGTGAGCAGTGGGAAGCCAGGAAATGCCTCTAAACCTAAATCAAATGAGGTAGGGGAAGAAAGAAAGAAAAGAAACAGTTTTATCTCATGGAGAATTCTGTCTGTATAGCATCTTCTTGGGCTTCTAAAGTTGGTGTAGGAAGGGTTGCAAATCTCATCCAAAGCTCTGATGATTTTTTTCTGAAGTAAAGCAAACCAGAACACAAGGAGAATTTTTAGTTTAGAGTATGCTGTTGAGCAGAGATTGCAATATTGAGACCATTCCAGGAAAGGAAGTTTTAAGGCCAAAATTAAAATAGCACATTTGTTCCTTGCAATTTGACTTTAGAATTCCCCAAGGCTCCTTCCTTGGGAAGCCTTATTTTTCATTTGAGAGAAGTTGTGTACCATATGGATTTTTTATTTTTTATTTTTTTGGTTTTTATACTACTTTTGCCAAGAATGTCTTGTGACACACAGCACTTCATTTTCCTAGGATCCCAAAAGATAATAGGTACTTTCAATGCTCTCTATTTTTGCTTGGTAAATGTAAGCATGTAGAAGAAAAAACACTATTTAGCAAATCAAATGATCCTCATAACTTTTAAGCTGTGCAAATCATAATTACAACCATCTCAATAATTATCACTTAATGTTCAAAGAGCACTAACCTTCATTTAGAAGCACTAAAATTGGAATCCAATCTTGACATTAGTCTATGAAGACTCAGATCCTATAAGAAGGCATACATATTGGAACATTTTGACTTGATTTACAAGTGAATTCAATGTGTCAGTTCCCAGGGAACTTACAAGTTGATTGACTTAATTGATTAAACTAATTGTCTTGTGTTGTCACCTTACAGACTTAGTCACTGCATAGATGGGGAAGAGAGGAGTTAGCTGTGAGGAAGATGTGAAATGAAAAAGGGGAATGCCTAAAGTAGTTGAGTATTGTGTTATTCTCTTCCTAATTATGGATATTTGTTGTTGGTATATTTTTGGATATTTGGATATTGGCAGTTTTCAACAGAATGAAATTCACTAAAGTAGACTTAAAATTCACTAAAGTAGAGCTGTGGAAGTGCTGAATTTAGAAGAACATTTTCAGCTTCCAGGGACAAGTTCCTCAGCTTCTTTGACTTCAGTTCTTTACTGCTGGCAGCCTAGGATAACAGACTGTCTCATGATCTTTCAGCATCTTCTTTCTGGCACTCCAGTTTACTGAGTATTACAATTTGACTATCATGGTTAAAAAAGAAACCGTCTTCTCTTCATTTTCTAAATATTCTTAACTTTGAAAACAATTACTCTTACTGTCTGCTTTTATCTGCCGAATCACTGAAATCTCATCCAGCGCTAAACACACGTATAGTGACAGAACATGGAAAAGACACAGTGTTTGCGGCCATTTGAAGACCTTGTATTTGGTTCACACAGGCTATTTATTTGTTTGTTTGTTTTGTAATTTATAATTAGAGTACTCTGATTTACATGTTTCCTGTGGAATATTCCAGAAAAAATCAAATGTATGTATGTATTCTGTGAAAGAAAAGAGCCACATGCTAACCTGACAAGCTCAGGGAAGGCCTGCATGGCAGTCTTGCAAACCCAGAGACCTAAGATAACCACAAAAGATGGTTTGAAAATTAAATATCTAACAGATTATAGTAAGTAGTCATGTCCCAGATGTTTTCCCAGACAAAGATCAACTTTGGTCTTTCACTGAGCCCATTTGCCTTTTTGCCTCTAAGATACCATATCTATGAGATGTCTGGGTAACTTGTAACTTTCCTTTTTCTGGAGCCTCTGGGGCACAACCAAATGCCTTGTGTGCCAGGACTGATGCCTCAAATTCCTTTGTTATCATCTTAATTGTTCCTGCACTCACCTGAGTACACATCCATCATTTTACTTTTTATCCAGTCCCAGGAGTTTCCCACCACTTTGCTTTCTCCTGCCTCCTTACTCCATCACCAATGAATTTCATGTTACCCACCTATGTCCCTCCTTTGATTTCAGTGTATAAATAGAGAAATGTAACCTGCCATTCTCTGGAGCATTATCTCAATCCGTTGAGGTTCCGCTTCCTGGCATTATCCACAGTAAGGCTCAAAGAAACCCACACACACACACACACACACACACACACACACACAAATCTTTACAGGTTTCAATGGTTTTTTTCGTTAACAATTCCTATAAAAGCACACTTTGGAGATGTTATGGGTTTGGTGTCAGACCATCAAAATAAAACAAATATTACAATAAAACAACCCACAGGAATTTTATTTCCCAGTTCACATAAAAGTTATGTTTATGCTGTCTTGTAGTCTATTGAGTGTGTAATGAGCATTATATCTAAAAAAATAAAAATAATTTATTGTTAAACAATGCTAGCCAATATCTGAGCCTTCAGTGAATCATGATCCTTTTGCTAAGGGAGGGTCTTGCTTCAGTGTTGATGGTGCTGATGGTTGCTGAAAATTGGAGTAGCTGTGACAATTTCTTAAAATAAGACAACAATGAAGTTTGTTGTAGTGGATTGTCTTTGCAAAACAACTTCTCTCTATATAGCATATGATTATGTTTGATAGCATTTTACCTACAATAAAACTTCTTTCAAAATTGGAGCCAACCTTCTAAAACCCTAAGTTTATGTAATAATGAACATTATTTGTTGTCATTTTAATAGTCCTCACACCCTCTTCACCAGGAGTAGATTCTATCTCAGGATACTACTTTCCTTGTTCATCCATGAGAAGCAAGTCATCTGTTAAAGTTTTATCATGAGATTGAAGCATTTCATTCACATCTTCAGGCTCCTTCAATATGTAAAAAAAAAATTCAATATCTGTAAAGCACAATGAAGGAAAGTGCAAACAACATAAGGTATGCCTACACACAGAGACATAAATATATATGCGCACACATACAACACCCTTTTAAAATTACCTATAGAAATAAAAGTGTAAATTCTTCCTAATACAAAGATATTCATAGTATACTATTAAAACAATCATAAAATGATTGTATTTGACACAATGACTAAATGCATAGTGACATGTAATGGGAACAGGGCAGGAGGAAGGGACCATGGCAGCAACAGTTTAAGTCATCAAAGCAATCTAGTTTGAAAAGTCTTGCTGCAAACTGTTTCACAACAATCCACAGTGATTGTTCTAATTTGCTGGCTTTTTTAACTACTAGTTTCATTTAACTTCAGAAAGGCTGGTGAAGTGGGCAGATAACTAGCAAAAATAATGGCTCAAACCAATAATTTTCAACCTTTTTCATTTCATGGCACACATAAAGTAATTACTAAAATTCTGTGCCACAAAACTAAAACCATTCCCTCTAAGAACAGGAACAAGACAGGGATGCCCACTTTCGCCACTCCTGTTTGACATAGTACTGGAAGTACTAGCCATTGCAATTAGACAAGAGGACGAAATAAAAGGCATCCAAATTGGAAAAGAAGAAGTAAAGTTATCCTTATTTGCAGATGACATGATATTGTACATAAAGAACCCAAAAGACTCCATTAAGAAACTAATTGACTTAATAAATGAATTTGGCAATGTAGCAGGATACAAAATTAACGCCAAGAAATCCATGGCATTTCTATACACCAACAGTGAAACTACAGAAACAGAGACTAAAAAAGCAATTCCATTTACCATCGCACCAAAAAAATTAAGATACCTAGGAATAAATTTAACTAAGGAAGTAAAGGATCTATATGCAGAAAATTACACGACACTGAAAAAAGAGGTAGAGGATGATGTAAGGAGATGGAAGAACATACCATGTTCATGGATTGGTAGAATCAACATCATCAAAATGTCCATACTTCCTAAAGCAATCTATAGGTTCAATGCACTCCCCATTAAAATACCAAGGGCATATTTCACTGACCTAGAAAGAACTCTCCAACAGTTCATTTGGAACAATAAAAGACCCCGAATAGCCACAGCAATCCTGAGAAAGAAGGGTAAAGTAGGAGGGATCTCAATACCGGACTTCAAACTGTATTACAAAGCCACTGTTCTCAAAACAGCCTGGTACTGGCACAAGAACAGACATATAGATCAATGGAATAGAATCGAGAATCCAGATATCAACCCAAATCAATATGCTCAATTAATATTTGACAAAGGAGGAAAGAATATACAATGGAGTCAAGACAGTTTCTTCAATAAATGGTGTTGGGAAAATTGGGTAGACACATGCAAAAGAATGAAACTAGATCACCAACTTACACCATACACAAAAATAAACTCAAAATGGATACAGGACTTAAACATCAGACGGGAAACCATAAAAATACTAGAAGCATCTTCAGGCAGCAAAATCTCAGACGTATGCCAAAAGAACTTCTTCACTGATACTGCCCCTAGGGCAATGGAAGCTAAAGAGAAAATAAACAAATGGGACTACATCAAAATAAAAAGCTTTTTTACAGCAAAAGAAACCATCAACAAAACAACAAGAAAGCCCACGGTGTGGGAGAACATATTTGCAAATAACACCACTGATAAAGGTTTAATCTCTAACATCTACAGACAGCTGATACAACTAAATAAAAGGAAGATGAATGATCCAATTAAGAAATGGGCAAGGGACCTAAATAGAATATTTTCAAAAGAAGACAGAAGGAAGGCCAAAAGGCACATGAAAACATGCTCAAAGTCACTAATTATACGAGAGATGCAAATCAAAACAACAATGCGGTACCATCTCACACCTGTCAGAATGGCCAACATCAACAAATGGACAAACGACAAGTGTTGGCGAGGTTGCGGAGAAAAAGGAACCCTCGTGCACTGCTGGTGGGAATGCAGACTGGTGCAACCACTGTGGAGAACAGTGTGGAGTTTCCTCAAAAAACTGAAAATGGAACTCCCATTTGACCCAGTAATCCCACTCCTAGGAATATATCCCAAGAAACTAGAAACACCAATCAGAAAGGATATATGCACCCCTATGTTCATAGCAGCACAATCTACAATAGCCAGAATTTGGAAACAGCCCAGGTGCCCGTCAGCAGATGATTG